TCATTTTTCTTTTCCATCCTCTCCTCCCCTGAACCTAAAAACATTAACAGATAAGCTACAAGACTTACAAAGAAAGCTCTCCAAAATAACTGTTCTGACAGTTGCCAAAATGAGATTGCACCAAAGATCCTGAGAAAGAACATGAAAAGCCAAATACATGCTACTATTCCATCCACAAGTTTTATAGCAGTTACAGAGAAAACTGTAGCCAGGAACACACATGTACAGCTTCTTCTCCTTGTCTATAAAAACTCCAATATTTCTTTGGCTTAGGGAGTTACCTACTTTTGAGTTGCTCCCAGAAGCCCATCAGCTAATTAAAGCCTTCAACCTCTATTTGATTAACTTTACCTATTTTGCCTCCTTGGGAAGTTTTTCTGTCCACCATTTCTTTGAGAACAGGAAATGCAACATAATTGCCTGCATCTGCAATAACCTGCAAATGGATAGTAAGAGGACAGGACTCTGCAGCTGAAACAGGCAGAAATAGGCAGCTACTGGAAGCTGTGGGCAAGTGACACCAATGTAGTAAGCCCGAGGTTTTTCAGAAAGCAAGAAAAGAAAACCAGTACTGAGTTAAGCAGAGACTGATCAAGTGTAATTTCAAAGTACAAGTTAAATTTGTACCATTTTAATCTTCCTTTAAACATATCTTTAACAAATATGAAAAAAAAGTAGCTATTGGTATGAAAATGCAAGGCATTTCTATAACCAAATTGTGTTTTTCTAACTCTTCTGTTCTCCTGCCCAAGAAAGGTAATCTGTAAAGGTGTCATTCATGAACAGCGCCTGGATTTGTAATAGCTTCTGTGAAGCCATGGTTATTTTCTTTTGTGGCTATGTTGAATTTTGCTTGAGACCTGTGATCCTAGTAAACAGTGATGGTTAAGAAATCCCCTTACTCTTTTGTGTTCAAGAAAACAGCGTACTGCAAAGAACCACACTTCCCCATATGGTTTAGATAAGATTTGCAGGTGCCCTCCTTTTTCATCTACAACAAAACCAGACACAGCCTGTCTAAATGTCCATTCTGTACCCCATTAGCTGTACTGCTTGTCCTAGTGATCAACTGGAACAAAATGCTTGTTAGCCAAATTTTAGTCAGGCTTCTCTCTTCCCTATACACCTTCCCTGAACTCTGCTTGCCCCCAAAGTAGAGCAAGCACAAAAATGTGGAACATGTCCCCTTTTCAGCTTCTCCTGGGAATCGGCTGACCACAAGAAGATACTTGCCTGTTTTCTGTTTGACTTTGAGACATTTGTGGGCCTTATGGTCACATTCTCCCGGTTGCAATAGTCCCCCTTCTGAGTTCTTTTGAATAAGAGTCTCTCCTTACGAAGTCTAGATTTGTTTTTCTCTGGCAGTTTCCTACCATGTCGGCCATCTTTCAGTGTGCAGACATACCAAACTCATGGCCACCTTAGGGCCTTTGCATGCTGCTCCCTCAGCTGGATATCTCTTCCCATCATCACTGGCCCTGTAGGGCAGGAAAACTACAGTCACTAAATCCAGCCCACACTCCAGGGGAGGGGAATTAAGTTCTACCTCTTGAAGGGAGGAGTAGCAAAAAGTTGTGGACATACTTGAGAAACACAACACTGTGTTGTTCCTCCATGGGCTGTAAAGACAGCAGCAGCCCCATTGCTCCATCCATACCACCATTCCACCCTTGCCTCTTTTGAAGATCTTGATGTCAGCCTTTAGCACCCACTACTCCTCATGTCAGGAATTACACCCATATATTTATTTTATTTATTTGTTTTGAGAGAGAGAGAGAGAAAGAAAGAGAGAGAGAGAGAATGTGCACAAGCAGGGGAGGGGCAGAGAGAGAGGGAGACAGAATCCTAAGCAAGCTCTGTGCCATCAGCTCAGAGCTCAATGCAGGGCTTGAACTCACAAACTATGAGATCATGACCTGAGCTGAGATCCAGAGTTGGGTGCTTAACCAACTGCACCACCCAGGCACCCCACACCTATGTTCTTCCACTCATGAAATGTGCATCTTGGCCATGGCTAAGTCTGAAAGCCCTTAGGGATTATAACACTTCTTCCAGAACCCAAACCAACCTCAGATGGGTTATCCCAGACCTCATCACTGACCTATGTCCCTCATATGGTGACAGCAGGTAGCATTGACTCTTCATATGAGTCCCCTGTCCCCATCAGTTATGGCCCACCTGTTCATCATGGAGATGTTCTGCCTCTATGACTTACCTCCCCAGCCAGTTGATTTCTGACTACTGTCTGCAGTCTATCTCCCGATTTGGGAAAAAAAGAGTTGAGGCCTTTTGACTATGTATTTACCCATTCTCTGCCCACTTTCCACTGATCAATGACCACATTGTACACTCTTGTGTATGAAGTATCAACTGTATATTTGAGAACATCTTCCTAATAAGTCCTCTGGTCTTCTCATCTTGCCTCGTGCAAGTTTGCATCCAACTTCTTATATTCCAACATGCTCAACAGAACGATTATGGCTACTACACAATCCTGCTCTATATACTCTTAGCCCTGCAAACACCCTGGCAGCCAGGCCACATGAGAGAATCTATACCTTCTGCTGGTCCAGAAAGTAAGATAACCAGAACCGGGTCATGTAGGAGCCCATGAGCATGAAACACATCCAGCTATCCTAGCATGCACTGCTACATCTCCCACCCGTGCAGAGAACATTGTTAAGAATGGAAGAGGTCCTTAACACCATGGCACTCTGAAACCAGCTGGCCATACCTTGTGAATCCACCTCATCTTTCATTGCTCGATAATCATGCCAACATTGAATCATACACATGATCTAGATGAAAGGATTAATTAGGGGATGGGGAGAGGAGCTGAAGGAGGTCACTTCTACCTGGTCTCATTCTACCAGTTGCAGGGATGGAGGGATGTTTGGCCCCTTCAATGACTCCCAGTCCACAGACAGAACTGAAAGGGCTACTTAGGTCTCTATTCCCCTCAGGGGTGTGTGAGAGGCTGGACCCGGTGCTAGGCTGAGACCAGGTCGAGCAATGGCTCCCTGTTGACTCAGCCAACCCGGTGGTTCCCCCTCCCATTCCCCCACTTACAAAGGCATACGAAAGCCTTGTCAAGGCTGAGAAATCTAATTCCTGAAGCCTGTGGTCTGTGGGTGTTTGCAGTAATGTTACCCCCCTTTTTCTACCCCGGGTCAAATGGAAACAAACATGGGAACTGTGTTTTGCTAGCAATCTATCAACAAGGTCTTGTTGTGACCCATTTAGAAAGTTCACAAGGTACACAGAACTAAATGTTTTGGCTGGCAGCGATCATGTGAAACCTGTTTATTCTTAGAATGACCTGATCCATAAGAGTCTTGAAATAAAAGATTGTGTACAGCAACAATAAAGCTGTCACTTGGGCCATCAGCCCAGGGGACCCCCCTGTTCCCAAACTGGCTTCTCTTCTCTTTTTTTTTTCTTACATTCCCCTACCCTCAGGACCCTGATCTTGGTGTTTGTTGCGCCGGTCGCAACAGGGGTGATATTTAGAATATTAACAATTTGTACCAGCCTGAGTGGATGAAAGTAAGTCTGAAGGACCCTTGATGGCATTAACCCTTTAGTTGTTGGATCATGTAAATGATTCAGGAGGACCGCAGTTGGGTGAGGGAGGGGCAGGGTAGCTATTTACCAATTGGTATATGGATTCTTAAGAAAAAGGTAAGATAAAAATGGTAAAAACCATAATTGCTATAACTGTTACTGAACTCAAATTTTGCTGTGCACCCAATCAATACCTAGTAAGACAATGTCTGAGACAACAGTTTTGAAGCAAAGAAAACTATTATCAGAAGGGCAACCCAATGAGAAGGCAGAGGATCATTCCCAAAGCTGCCTCACCCTGTTGAGACTAGGGATAGCTTACATATGTTTGGGGAAGGAGGTGAATACATGAGAGGACGGTGAGGGGTTCCTTGAAGCCTTGAGCAGGGATGCCTTGAAATAATCTGGAGGTATGTGTTCTTCTGAACAATAAGGTGACATATGTGACCTGGTATGTCAGGTATGTCAGAATAAATCAGTAGGTAAACAAGGAGTAGAAGTGAAAAAGGCAAAGTTAATGACTGTGCAGGAGGTTAAGAGGTAATTAGGTGGAGAACCAACGAAACATGGAGCTAAATTAATAATGCAATGATATAACTATAGTTCTGCTTATGCTTTCAAAGCAGGTCCAGGAACCAGATGCCCAGCTTCATAACCATATGTACAGATTAAACTTTATACTGTTTTGTGTCTGCTTCTCAAGCTATAATGCCACAAAGTCTCTTCAGGTTATAGTCCAGGAACCAGTCAGTTCTGACTTTCTGGTGTAAGATGTGACCTCATCTTTGCTTGCTGTTGTTGATCTTTGAGAACACACTTAACCTTCATATTTCGGATCATCCCTATTTCACTGGTAATGCCCTCTCTCAGACAAGGTCTTTAGTTTTCTTTGGAAACTTGCACTTCAGTCTTTATAACCCTCCTTACAACCATGTCCACAACTTCCTTCCGCCTGCCGCTGGGATCCAAGCTCAGAGCCATGCCACCCATATTCTTCCTATAAATGCAGATGGAACTAAAGAGATAGGATAGAGGGCTGCAGTGAAAAGACCAAACACACAAGCAGCAACCTCTTTGACCCCAACCATAGAAACGGCTTACTTGACATCTCCAGAGGCAAGGGAAACAAAAGCAAACATGAACTATTGGGACCTCATCAAGATAAAAAGCTTCTGCACAATGAAGCAAACAATCAGCAAAACTAAAAGGCAGACTGCAGAAATGGGAGAAGACATTTGCCAATGGCATATCTGATAAAGAGAGTGGAGGGCAGGCGCTCACAGGGGAAGACAGGGTTGCTGAGGACAGGTCAGGCGACTCACAGGCAGCTGAGCACCGCGCTGGCGCCAGGGAGAAGGCGAGACGTTGGCCCTCCCAGCTTCCTAGAGCGGCCACCGAGACGCGGGGCGGCGGCGCGCGTGCGCGACCTGGGCAGACGGAGAGCTGGTCTCTGGGCCACGGGTTCTGGGCGGGTGGTGTGGCTGGAGGACTGGCTGTCGGGGACCTGGGGAGGTGAGCTGCCGGGCGGGGCGCGGGGGCGGCGGAGGCGGGGGGGGGGCGACCGGCAGTGAGGGTGCGCGGCTCGGGAGGGCGGCGGGGACGCTCGGCCCCTCCCGGGGTGAGAGTCAGGGGTCGGGGGTGCTGGCTGAGGCCCGGCCTGGAGGCGGCGCCCGGGGCGGGCGGTCTGGCCGGGCGGGGATCCGGTCCCCGCTGCGGTGAGGAGTGTAGCTGGAAGCGCTTTGCAGCCCCGGGCAGAGAGTTGGGAGTAATGGCTTCTGTGCTTTATCCTTTCTCCCAATTATGCAAACAAAGCGTACTCATTAGGGACAATTAGATGACGCGGGTGGGAGCCAGAAAAGTGAGAATAACCGCTGTCCGCAAATAGTTTCGTCTGGATGCTTCCTGACATTTTAAAATTTGCTCACAATTATGCACATTCATACACGGGTGCGTGTGCCTTTCGAAATGGGATCGTACTGTGGCCTTTAAAAACTTAGTATTATTGGGATGCACAAGTATTGTGCTAAAATTTACATAATACTTACCATAGGGTACAATAAAATCGACCACTTTAACCATTTTCAAGTGTGGCAAAATTGAGCGGCATTAAGTACATTCATACCCTTGCGTTTTGAAAATGATGATACCTTCAACAGGCGGAATGCATTTGTTCACATAGCGGTCAAAATTGGTGCTAGCGTTAGTTAGGACGCCACCGAGACATATTTCTGTGAGGATAATTAAAAGGAAACGTTTTCGTTGCAGTTTATTTTCCGTAGTTAGTACACACTACACAAAGCTGTAATGCTCACAAAGTGACGCTTGTGCAGGAAAATAGCAGAATCTTGTGTATTAGGGTGACTGCCTCTTTTCAAAATGAAAGTGTAGCATATAAAAGGGAGTTTTAATTTTTTCAATATACGTTTTTAAAGATTTTATTTTTAACAAAAAGGTTTTTTTAAAGATAAGGTACAGCTCTTAAAACCACCGTACTGTCTCTGGCTTGCATAGGCCTAAGAAGTCAGAGAATGGTCGGTCCCCTTCTAAGTTACAAGTGGTGGCCAGGAAAGAACACCACCCTGTTTCGAGCTGTATGTAGTGCAGAAGTGAAAACGCATTAGTATTAGTACATTATTTGCAAGGAAATGTCAGTGAGTGGTTTTAGTCATAATTTGATGAAGGGATTTCGGAGAACTTGCATCCGCTTACACGTGTGTGTGTGTGTGTGTGTGTGTGTGTGTGTGTGTGTGTGTGTGTG